CAACCAAAAATCTACTTTTTGGTTCACGGACATTACATTTAAATTGGGATTTTGGAATTTCCATAATCGCTAAATGAGGGATTTTTTAATCTGGTTTTCAAAACTAAAATTAAAAATAGATATCTAAACTTCTTATGTTTTGTTTTGTAAATATATGTTTTTGGGCTTTTTTGTTGTATTTAGAAATTTAATTTTTAGGTAATTTTAGAAATATGTAAATTTATGATTTTTTTAATTGCAAAGCCGATTTGTTTTTTAATGTTTATCTAAATTTATGGTTTTTTTGTTGTTTTATGGATTTTAATGTTTTTAATTTCTTTTTGGATTTTTTTTTTGTTAAATGGTTTAAAAATAAAATAATTAGAGATTGGCCCTTTAATTTTTTTAGAATTATCAAAAAAAGTCCAATTTGTAGTTTTTAACATGTTTACATATAACTGGTGTATGTCACCATGTATTATATATTAGTTTGTGTAGTTTAAAGAACATTTTTATACTTTGGATGGTTTGCAACATATTATAGTTCGTGTAGCTTAGATTGATTTTTCTTAAAAAAAAATCATAGAAATTTTTATTATATAATAAACTAAAAATGTATCATAAAAAATATTTATTTTTTAGCTCCTAAAGATTAGTTTAGACATTATAAATTTATCTACTTATATATACTTTATAAGACTATGTTTTTAAATTTATATTTTGAGATTATATGTATATTTAAAACTACATTTTTATATAAGAATTTATAAAATTTAATATTTGGGACTATATTTTTTATCATTTCTATATAGTAGATCTATTCATGTTTATCATTGTATATATAATATATTGTATAATATTTATTTTTATAGATATGTATTTCTAAAACAAATTATCCGCCTAGGCCCCGCGTATATGGTTAGGCGCTAGGTCTTCTTTCGCCACCGAATAAATATCTAGCGTGTATTCGAACATTGTAGTCTCTAATCAACATCGTTACTATATGAAAACCAATTTTCTACGCTATGGCCTAAAAGTTAAATTGTAGATCCACCATTGTCTGCAAAATTTTAATATCCGAACTTAGTAAAAAACACATATAAAAAGGAATTAGAAAACTAAAAACTAATTTTAGTTAGGAGACTTTTTCAAAATTAAAAGTTTGGTCCCATCAAACTTGTCTGATTTGGCTAATTTTGTCTAACCTATTTTTATCGTGTGTTTCAGCAACAGTCGCCCCTTGCTATTCACACATCGCTTCCCAGAGCCAATCAGAAGCGAGCAGGTGATGGGCCAAAAAGACCATGGGCCTCCGAACCACATCGTCGTGCCCAGGACCCGGTACGCTCGTCGATTGGGGGCTACTGTTGGGCATGGGCTTTATAAAAAGTGATTTTACAGCCCATTTCGCCGAGTTCGGCCTATGAGCAGTCCGAGCCCAGCTCAAGTTCCAAGAAAACCTTACATAAATGTACCTCCTCATTTTAGTATAAAAAGGGGATCCCTTTTCATGAATTGTCCCATCACTTTTTTCTTTTTTACAAGTTTCCGAGCTCAACATCCTTTCTTATTTAGTACTTCTGTTTATGTTGCTTGTAACCCGTTTCCGACCACATTATCAATAAACGAGAATTTCCGCGCCTCTTATTGTTTAATACATGTATTGTCGAACTCATGTATCAACACGGGTGTGTGGAGAAAAGATTCCATATCCGAAAGATGTAAAGGGACTAACTAGTATATAAGGGCATCGTTTGGGCAAATTTTAACCAGTTCTTATGAATACAGCTATACGGATTAACGCTTAAAGAGATACTTTATTGTTTCGTAATTTCCAGATTACATCGTCGAATACAAGAATAAACATGAGTTTCTAACAAAGATCGAATGAAAATCGATCTTGCTTGCGAAGATACTTCTCGAAACTCTTGGCTTGAGAGGTTGAATTTTGGCAATAGCATTTGTCGTTCCTTTTATGAGTTCTTAGGGTTTTTTCTTCGAGATCCCCTCTCTAGTTTTTAGGACCTTTATATATATAGGTTCATGTCAAACCTAATTTCCTCTTTTTTCCACTCAAGATAATGATGTGGCAGTACCAATATATACATAATCGGGTAGTGGGTTTATTTTACCAAACAAGCA